GAGTGAGTGGGTGGGTGAGTGAGTGAGTATGTGACTGTGTGGGTGAGTAATTGAGTGAGTGGGTAGGTGAGTGAATTAGTGAGTGGGTGGGTGAGTGAATTAGTGAGTGAGTGGGTGGGTGAGTGAGTGGGTGAGTGAGTGGGTTGGAAAGTGAGTAGGTGAATGAGTGGGTGAGTGAGTGGGTGAGTGAGTGGGTGGGAGAGTGAGTAGGTGAGTAAGTACAAGACTAAGAGCAGCCTGGTTGGCAGAGGCCTCTCTGGGCCCCTCTGTCCCCTCCTCTGTCAACCATTGGAGGCAGTTCATCCTACACCCACACACTCACCCCCATGTTGACCCTAAATCTATTTCCATTTGGAGGGCACTGTGTACCAGTCAGGCTGCCCCCCTTCTCACCAGGGTGCTCCCCAGCGGGGTGGCACCAGAGCTCCAGTCTGTGACTCTTCCCTTTGTCCCTGCATGACCTCACTCCACACCCACACCTTTAGGACCATGGAGGAGTTCAGTCACCAGCTTATAGAGAGCCAGTGAAGTCCTCCAGCTCCATCAGCACCTGGGAACAAGCCCACCTCACTCCAGCCCTCCAACCTCCACACCCAGCAGTGACCTGCCGAGAGGCTTCCCCTGCACACACTCCACCCCCAAGCCCATGTGGACTCTGGCCAAGGCTCCTCTGCCCTTCTCCCCAGCAAATGTCTCTTTCCTGTTCGTTGGGAACAACTCGTTTCAGGCCCTGGGGACAACGAGGGTGACCCTGCACTGAGCTGACTCTGTGTTCTCATGAGGATCTCACCTGTCACTCACTTTACAAGGGAACAACTAGTGGTGCTTTGGATTTGCTCAACACGAAGCACTTCTGTGCATCTTTCCATCCACATCTCAGTGTGTGTCGCTCTGTGAGCTCAGTCCTTAAAAGAAGGACCACAAAGCTCTTGGAAAAGCAAGACATTATTTAGCGGGAACATTAGTCATTGTGCTGATCATCCAGAGTGATGGATGGCCCATGTGCTCTGTGGCTGCATCTCCTCTGGTGTCTGACCCGTCTCCCTCCCCAGCTCCATCCTCTGATCCGCTTTCTGTCGCTCAAGCTTTGCCTTCTCTAGAACCTCTCAACAGTGTCATCATGTAGTACGGAGCCTTTGGGATTTGACCCCTTTGATAAGACAGAACAGTTTCAGGGTCGCCTCTTTGTTCCTGAGTATGTGCGCTCGCAAAAATAAATAAATAAACAAATAAATAAATAAATAAATAACAGGCATAAAATTCTGCAATGTTTGTGAAATACAGTAGCAGGAAAGGACCTGATATGGGGCAGGCATGTCTCAGTCAGGGCAAATTGCCAGGCAGGGACGCTGAGGGGTGTTGGCTGCCCCCGCAAGCGGCCAAGTTGTTCTATCTGTGGCACTAGTTGGCATCAATATTGGCACCCAGCTGCCACCCTCCCCAGGCCAGGAGGGAGGGGGAACCCACAAGTGAAAGATCAGTGTGAGGCTGTCTAGAACCTGTCCTGCCAGGCCAAGCAGCAGCCCTGTGCTGGGTCCGGCAGCTGGAGGACACAAAGGCCCCACTTTCAAGGAAGGTCAAGCGGGAGAGGGGTCAGCCAAGCAGAGGGAATGGTTTCCGCCCTGGGAGAGGGAAATTCTGGTATTTTGGGGTCTCCCAGAACTTTGGTGATGTGGTTTTTATTTCCAGGACCTTCCCGAGATGATGGAGGCTGGAGTTGGGTGTCCCTTTGCAGGGGTTGGCTGCTCCTTCAAGGTAAGCATCTGAGGGTGAGGAAGGACACAGGGGAGTGTCTTCCCCTGCTGCTGCGTGTCCCCATTCCATCCCCACTGGGAATTTCCCGGCAATCTAAGACCCTCTTTTAGATATCCCTTGCATTTATGAATTTGGGGGACAACTGGTCCCACTGTTAGTCACCTTTATACACAGGGAATTGATCTTGCTTGTTTCACCTGGTTCCTGGCACCATCTCCAAAGGAATGGCCACCCCGGACCCCTCTCCATGGTCCTGAATCACCCTTGGCTCGCTGGAGGGCAAGGCTGGGTATTGTTCTGGAGCTCTTGCTCATTGCGGGGGTGCCCATCTGATGCCAAATCCTGGATCTTCATCCTCCGAATACCTCCTGCCTCAGACTAGCCAACTCCAGCACTGCTGGGGGGATGGATCCAATTTTCCTTGGCAATCTTTGAAGGGGAGGGTGCAGGAATCTCCATTACTTCCTACAGCTCTCCTCCCCTTCTCTGGTTTTTGTTTAGTTTGGGAGTTTGGGTTGGGGGCCACAACCAGCAGTGCTCAGGGGTTCCTCCTGGCTCTGCACTCAAGGATCACTTCTGGCTAGACTCAGGGGACCCTATTAGGGCGCTGGCGATAGAACCCGGGTCTGTTTTCACTGAGTGGCCCCGCCCTCTTGGCAGGGGAGCCCTAAATTCATGCAGGAGCACGAGGTGTCCTCTCAGGCCTCCCACCTGAACCTGCTGCTGGAGTTGATGAAACAATGGAAGGCCCAGCTGGGCTCCAGCCTGGGCTCAGGACCCATGGCCCTGGAGCAGAACCTGTCCGACCTGCAGCTGCAGAAAGAGATGGCGGGGGGCCTGGAGGTGGACTGCTACCGGGCCCCCTGCTCCGAGAGCCAGGAGGCGCTGGCCCTGCAGCACCGCGTGAAAGACAAACTCTTGGCGGAGCTGGAGGGGAAGCTGCGTGTGTTTGAGAACATCGTGGCCGTCCTCAACAAGGAGGTGGAAGCCTCACACCTGGCCTTGGCCGCCTCCATCCACCAGAGCCAGCTGGACCGTGAGCACATCCAGAGCTTAGAACAAAGGGTGAGAAAGCATGGGGCGGGCAGGGGAAGCAAGTCTGTCGGCCAGCTCAGGGGGACCCATTTCCCTCCACCTCAACTCCTGGGCAGTCTGTGGACCAGTCTTCTCCCTAAGTATTCTCCCAGCTCAGGGAAGTCACTCCCACCTCAAAACCTACCTTCCTATATCCCGGATCTTCTTGGAAAGTACCAGATTAGAAGTTACAGTCGAGGTCAGCTCCCAACTCCAACCAGGGTTTCAGCAGCTTTGCTAGAATTGCCTCAGTAGGACACTCTCTCCCCAAGCAGCTCATTCCATTGGCTGGACCACTTCCACTAATTAGAAAGATATTCCTTGGGCTGGAGAGATAGTTCAGTTTGCAGGGTGCTTGCCTTGCATGCAGCCAACCCAAGTTGGATCTCCAGTACCACATCTGGTCTCCTGAGCCTGCAGACTCAGTGGTAAGCTCTAAGCACCAACAGGTGTAGCCCAGAAACAGAGAGAGGAGGAAGGGGAGAGAGAGAGAGAGAGAGAGAGAGAGAGAGAGAGAGACCCGCTGAGCCAGGCCAGGGGGTGGAGCATATAGAGGAAGAGCTTTGCAAGCCAGGACTTCACCAGAGAACCAGGAGGGAAAGGGAATTCCGGGAAGGAGGAAGAGTATGTTAGAGGCAGAGACGCATGTCTCGGGGAGGCCGACTCAGGCCATCTTCCCAAGTCTCCAGCTGAATGCGTTTCCTCTCAGGTGCTCGAGCTGCAGCAGACGCTGGCCCAGAAAGACCAGGCCCTGGGCAAGGTGGAGCAGGGCCTGCGCCTCATGGAGGAGGCCTCCTTCGATGGCACCTTCCTGTGGAAGATCACCAACGTGGCCAGGCGGTGCCAGGAGTCGGCCAGCGGCAGGACCATCAGCCTCTTTTCCCCAGGTAACCCTGCCCGGGAGGCCAACCAGATGGACCCAGAAAGTAGCAGGAGGAATCCCCCTGCCCCAGCTCTGCTGGGCCCACCTTCACCTCCCTGCATCCTACTTACATCCTGTAGGTCCCCATCGTCATCAGCTTCAGGTGGCTGTTGGCAGTGGAGGCCCCTATGCCCAAGGCTGGAGCTCATGCAAATGACAGGAACATCAAGAGGCATTTCCGCAGTAGATTCTCTGGCCCTGCAGACCTGATGGCACCAAGTCCCGTGAGGTGCCAGTGCCAGCAAGTGTGGGCAGGGGTGGCTACTACACAGAGGAGCTCTAATGGCGGGTCCAGCTCCCTCCTTGGTGTCTTTTGAGATCTCCAAGAGAAGCACACACACCTCCATGTGTGAGTGAAGTGCTCCTGTCAGGTCCCTTCCCTTTCCCGTCCCCCCACCCGGTACCCCAGTGGGTCATTAAAGAGGATTTCTGCAAGGCCAGAGGGATAGCACAGTAGGGAGGGTGCTTGCCTCGCATTGGGCAAAGCCAGATTCCATTCCCAGCCCTACCCCCTATGGCCCCTGGAGCCGCAGGAGTGATGCCTGAGCACCAGGTGTGACCCAAAACACACACACACACACACACACACACACACACACACACACACAAAGAACAAAAGGATTCTGCAGGTGACAAGTTCTAGGCACCTTCCCCGCTGCCCCAGCTTCATTCTCTGTCATCTACTCTGATGCCTCCTCACCAAACCTGATGTCCACCCTCAGGGTTGACCAGGCCCCTCCACAGAGAAGCAGGGATAGGGGGAGGCCTTGCCCCTGCTGCAGTGTCCCCGCTCCCTGCCATTCTACCCCGGGGTGAGAGCACTGCTGAGTCTGCCCATCTCTCCTCCAAGCAGTTCTGTCTATCCCCCGTCCCCTAACCCCCGTCAGTCCCTCCCAGAGGTGCGTGGGGTGCCTGCCAGCCCCCAGCATCACCCTTGCAGCTTCCCAGGGGGAACCCACAAGCCACCACTTCACCTTTCTTAGCTGCTTCATCCCTGCTCTTCTCTGCCCAGCGACTGGCATGCCTGGGAGTGGCCCCCTCTCGTCCTGCCTTGGGGCACACCCTGCCCAGCATGGCAAAGAGAACTCTATGCTGAGCAAACCCCCAGAAACTGTCTCTGCTCCTGGGCACTGTAACACACTGGACAGTCACTTCCCTATACTCAGGCTTTCAAAAATAGGTTAGATCCGGCCAGTAGGTCCCAGGGCTCAGCGGCAGCACCATGCCCTGAACACCTTAGAAATACAGATTCTCAAACACTGGGTGGTCTCACTTATTTTTTTTTTTTAGTTTTTGGGTCACACTCAGTGATTCTCAGGGGTTATTCTTGGCTCTGCACTCAGGAATCACTCCTGGCGGTACTTAGGGGACCATATGGGATACTGGGAATCAAACCCGGGTCGGCCGCATGCAAGGCAAATGCCCTACCCACTGTGCTATCGCTCCAACACCGGTCTCACTGATCTGTGGGATAGAGAATACTGGAGAAGGAAATGTAGCAAAGGGTGGATGCCTAGATCACCCTTGACCCCCGTGTTTAGAGATCAGAGAAATCAAGGGTGGGAGAAGAGATCATGAAGTAATGGGTGAACAGACCTCAGGGCTTCAGTTATACTGGTGATATGGGTGAGTGCTATAGTCATATATCTGAAACACAGACTCAGGAACACTGAAAACATGAAATCGAACTCATGACCACTGGAACATCATAATATGCCTGTCAAGTTGACAGACGGGGATGGGGAACGTTGGTGGAGGGAAGTTGACACGGGATTGGTGTTTAAATATATGTGTAACATTCAATTCTAAATAACTTTGTAAACCATAACTCTTCAATTAAATAATCAAAAAAGAAATACAAGATTCTCAACCTCCCCCATATTCCCAACACCAGGTCGGTAGCTCTGGTCTGGAAGGGTGAGCAGCAGCTGATTCTGATGGTCAGTGGACAGTCCCTGGGCTGCATAACCCCCAAGCGCTGTCCCTGAGAAGAATGCTGGGCGCCAGGCCCAGAGTCCTCAGTGGAGAGCCCCAAGCATGGGCCTGCGCAGATTCCCATCTGCAGAGGGTTCTCTCCCCTCGCCCCCTGTGCTGACGCCCCTCTCCACACTGCAGCCTTCTACACCTCCAAGTACGGTTACAAGCTGTGCCTGCGGCTCTACCTGAACGGAGATGGCGCAGGAAAGAGGACGCATCTGTCTCTCTTCATCGTGATCATGAGAGGGGAGTACGATGCCCTGCTGCCGTGGCCTTTCCGGAACAAGGTAAGGGGGTTGGGGGGGTTGGTGGTCTGGGGGATGCCCGGCCCCAGGCCTTGTTTCAGCCCCCATCCCTTGGGCCTGATATAGCCAGGAACTAGCCCTGGCCATGTGAGCTCAGCCTTTTGCCCTCTTCACGTGCTCCATTTCCTCATTTCTAAAACAAAAGGGTGAAGCCACATCTAAGTATCCAAGGCTCCTTCCAGCTCCCCGAGTCCAGGAAAGCACATTCTAGCAAATGCCTGCACCAGCTGTTGTCGTGCACGCCGTTGACAGTGGTTCCGCCCCTCATACTCCATATGGTACCCCAAGCCCCACTAGGAGTGATCCCTAGGAGTGACCCACTAGGAGTGCCATCAGAAGTAAGCCCTGAGCACCACCATGTGTGCCCCAAAAATATTAAAATGAAAGAAAGAGTGGGAGGGAGGGAAGAAGGAAACAAAAGGAAGGAAGGAAGGAAGGAAGGAAGGAAGGAAGGAAGGAAGGGAGGGAGGGAGGGAGGGAGGGAGGGAGGGAAGGAAGGAAGAGGAGGAGGAAGAGAGGGAGGGAGGGGGAAGGAAGGAAGGGAGGGAGAGAGGGAGGGAAAGAAAGAAAGAACGTGGAAGGGAGGGAGGAAGAAAGAAAAAAAGAAAGAGAAAGAAAAGGGAAGGAAAAAGTCTTCCCCCACAAAAAAGAAAAAGAAAAAAAGGAAAGAAAGAAAGCAGTGTGTGGGGCTGTATACTATATGGTTCCGGTCATCTGACCTCTGGGACCAGGCAGGTTTTAGAGGGTCTGTGGCTTCAGGGACAGCGCGGGAGCAGGTAGATGGAGATCAGTGAGGACTCTAGCGCTCTCCAGGCAGCTGCCTTTTGTGGTGCACCCATCGGTCCCCAGGAGGGGAGCTGATGAAGCTGTGGGCGATGGGCAGGTGCCTCTGTGGGTCACTGACTGTAGGAAAATCCCAGCCCAGGTGTGGGGGTGTGGAATCTCTATTTTCTACTCTAGTCATCTCAGGTACCTACAAGTGCTCTGACAATGAGGCCTGTTAAAATGGTCCAAGCAGGCGTGAGTGGGGAGAGTCAAGCGTTGCTGCAGGTGGCAGCAGGGGGGAGCAGGAGGACATGAAGGGAAAGAGGCAGGTGGCATGGGCACAGACCCAGACCCAGTAAGTGGGGGATTCCCGTATCTGCAGGGGAGAGTTTAAAAACTACCAACCGTGACCATGAGCCTCATACCATGAGGAATCATGCCTGAACATCAACAAAATTTCTCTTTTTTTTTTAATAAGCATTTTTTTTCTTCTTTAGACACTTGCAGTTGTGTTTATGCTAGAGTTTCAGGCTTATAATAATTCAGCACCAACCTCGCCAGCTTCCCTTCCCCCATGCCCCCAGCTTCCTCCCCCCCCCCAGCAGGCACATTTTGCTTTTTTGGGTCACACCTGGTGATGTTCAGGGGTTACTCCTGGCTCTGCACTCAGGAATCACTCCTGGAAGTGCTCAGGGGACCATAAAGAATGCTGGAAATCGAACCCGGGTTGGCCACGTGCAAGGCAAACGCCCTACATGCTGTGCTATCGCTCCAGCCCCCAGCAGGCACATTTTGGAGGGACCACACCTGGCAATATTCAGGGATTATTCCAGGTTCTGTGCTCAGGAATCACTCCTGGAGGGGTTCAGGGGGACCATATGGGGATCGAACTAGAGTTGGTTGTGTGCAAGGCAAATTGCCCTATCCACTGTACTACCGCTCCAGCCCCTGCAGGCACCTCTTTAAGATGAATGATTGTGGGTTGGGTGTCATACCTCAGTATTGCTGACTCTGTGGTAAAGATGTATGCACAGACCAGCCCTCAACAGTCCTGATGTGTCTAGAGCTCCTCAGCCCCATTCCTGTTACTTCAAGATTTTTTAGACCTTTTCAGGGTTCCTGATGGGCAGCATGTTTTAAGAAGGGCTGAGGTGGGGTGGCGGGAGGGATACTGGGAACTTTGGTGGTGAAGAATGGGCACTGGTGGAGGGATGGGTACTCGACCATTGTATGACAGAAATGTACTCGCAAAAGTATGTAAGTCTGTAATTATAGCTCATGGTGTTTCATTAAAAAATTTTAATTTTTTAAAAAAAGAAGAAAAAGAAAAAAATTTATAATAAAAAGGAAGGGCTAGAGGGATAGACATAGAAAGATTGCATTCATCTGGGTAACATAAAGTAACAAAATAGGAGACTAACACCCAAGAATGGCTGAGATTAGTACCAGGAATTTTGCTCCATGGCTTGGAGGCCAGCCTCACATGCTAGGGGAAATGGCAGCTCAGATAGAGAAGGGAGCACCAAATAAAGGGTGTTGGGAGGATCCTCCCAGGATCGAAGAAGCATGCTGAAAGTAGACTATAGACTGAACATAATTGCCACTCAGTGCCTCTTTTGCAAACAACAGCACCCAAAAGAAGAGAGAGAACAAAAAGGAATGCCCTGCCACAGAGGCAGGGTGGGATGGGGGCATGGGGGGTGGGAGGGATACTGGGATCATTGGTGATGGAGAATGGGCACTGGTGGAGGGATGGGTATTTGATCATTGTATAATTGAAACCCAAGCACAAAAATTTGTAAGTCTACAGCTGTACCTCATGGTGTCTCACTAATAAAAATTAAAAAAAAAAAAGGAAGGGGTGCGGTGGGGAGAGTAGCATGTGCCCAAAAGGGGGTCATGTGACCTTTTTTTCCTTTTCTTTCTTTCTTTTTTTTTTTTGTATTACACCCAGTGATGCACAGGGGTTACTCCTGGCTCTGCACTCAGGAATCACTCCTGGCAGTGCTCAGGGGACCATTTGGGATGCTGGGAATCAAACCGAGTCAGCCACATGCAAGGCAAAAGCCCTACCCGCTGTGCTATTCCTCCAGCCCCATGTCGTGTGGCTTTAAGCCTATTGGGCTTCTGGAGGGGGGCTCACGCCCAGCTCTGTCTGCAGCCCCTTCTCAGGGGGCCTCACCCCTGGGTTCCAGCACACACTTCAGCGTGGAAAGGAGCCTCCTTCTAGCTGAACTGTAGTCCCACCTCCTTATCCAAACTCGAGCCTCACCTCTGAGCACCACCACCCACTGGAATGGGCCCCTTCCTCTTACCAAGAAGCCCTGCTCCCTCATCATGGAGCATCCTCTGTCCCCCACCCCCACCCCAGACAGGCTCAAAATCCCCAGTGGGTCCACGCCTTGCACCCCTGGCATCTGCCCTCGGGGTCAGGCGAGAGTAGGGAGACAAAGCCCTTCCCCCTTTGCCCTCAGGTCACCTTCATGCTGCTGGACCAGAATAACCGAGAACATGCCATCGACGCCTTCCGGCCCGACCTGAACTCAGCATCCTTCCAGAGGCCCCAGAGCGAGACCAATGTGGCCAGCGGGTGCCCACTCTTCTTCCCGCTCAGCCGGCTGCAGTCTCCCAAGCACGCCTACGTCAGGGATGACGCCATGTTCCTCAAGTGTATTGTGGACACCAGCACTTAGGAGAAGAGATAGAGTACCCACTCGGGACTTGGGGGCTTATGCCTGGGGTGCCCCGGACCCCATGGCTCAACATCAAGCTGGCCTGAGCAGAGCAAGACTGAATCACAGGCACTGGCCACCATGGGAGACCTGGACACAGGTGGGGGCAGGGCTTCTGCACTGACCATTTGCCCCACCAGCCCTGAATAGTGAGATGAACTCTTGCTGGGACAGGGAGGAGCTGAGAACCAAGCTTGGGGGTCCCCAGCAAAGATGTTGCAATGTGGGCATCTGCACAGCCGCCCGGGGAAAGGGTTTCGGGCTATCTGGTGTCAGGAGAGGAGAGGCCAGCTGTCACTCTGGATTCCATCTGTCTGTCTGTCCGGGTCTGGATGGGCGAATGAGCTAAGCCAGAGCCAGTGGTCGAGCTGCAGAGATAACGTGGGCACCAAATCGGAGCTGGAGCGTTTTCTGGGTTCCAGACCAAAAAGCATCTCATTCCAGCCCTCTCCTGCCCAGGTGAGGAGAAGGAATATTCTAGAAATGTTCTGGAGCCTCTTTCCTGCCGGGCCCAGCAGAGCCCTGTCACTCTGGGGATGGCAGTCAGCTTCTGACCCCCAGGCAGGAGCACCCAGAGGCCCTGTGTCCAGTATCCTGCACCCCTCCCCAGGAGAAATCGGTGGGGGGTATCAGCTCTCACTCTCCTGTGGGCCAGGCCCACTTACAGCACTTTCCAGAAGCCTGTGACCCCTGAGGACCCCAGGGATTCCCTCATTCGCTCTTCAGAATGTCTGAGCCTCTGCCGGCGGTGAACCCTTTAAATGTGTATAAAACCAAAGCTATTTTTAAAAACCTTTTAGTGTTTTCATGTCATGCTGTGGATCTGAGGGGGCCCGGTTTGCCAAGTGTCTGGCGGAGGCCTGGGTGCTGCTTCCATCTCCCCAGCCCTCGAGGCATGTCAGCTGGTAGGTGCTTCCTTCCTGCCTCTGCCAGCTGCTTTCAAAGGAGCCCACTTGGGTCCAGGAACCTGGACAGCCACACATGGGAGAAAGGAGGGGACTTTGCAGGCTTTTCCCAGCCCAGTCTTGGGGCAGGGGCTAGAACTCAGCTCATACCTCCCTCCCTGCATGACTGAGGCCCTGGGTTCAATCCCCAGTTGCCCCCCCACACACACACACACTTGCACACATGTACACCCATGCACACATACACACAATCATACACGCAATGCACACATACACACACCCACTCATATACACATAGACATACATGCGCATATACACACATGCACACACACTCTTGCACACATATACACCCACACACACATACACACTAACATACACACAGTGTACACATACACACACCCATGCACATATACATACAGATATACACACATGTGCATATACACACATGCGCATATACACACATGCACACACACACACAACCCCATTCCACCAAGCTCCTGCTTGACTTTACAGATCCCTAGAGACTTCCCACTGCAGGGTGGGACTCCCTTGTCCCCCCACTCCTCCCCTTCCACCCACTCTTGCTCTCCTTGCCAAGGCAGCACACAACACACACCTAGGGCCTCAGAGCTGCCTGGGAAATGGGTCAGCACACTGCAGGTTCTGGCACACGTGCCCAGCCTGGCGTAGCTGATGCCCTTGCCTCCCCAAAGGAGGGCAAGGGCAGCTCGAGATATGAGAATCCCTTGGACTCAAATGGAGAACCTCACCCTCCTTGGAGGGCTTATTGGATCCACTTGGTGAAGTCAGAAAGGCTTCATTTAAGAGGTGGCATTTCAACTCAGCTTTCAACTAAGTTTGAGGTGCAGAAGAAAGGGGGTATAGGGAGAGAAAAAGTGGTGGTGTTAGGGAGCCATATCTGTGACAGGTGGAATCAGGGAGCAGAAGGCAGAAAGGTAGGGGGGTGCCCAAGCACAGAAGGTGGCTCTGATGTGGGAGTGGGGTGGGGGGACAGTCCCAAGTACATGTGACTCTTGGGATCACTGCCGGCAGAGGACAATGCTGTCAGTTACTGATGGATCTCCCAGAAAATCACTCAACACCTGACATCTCAACTGTGCAGGTGATTCCAGGAGAGGGCAGACACAGGCTCCGGGCAGCCTGACTATCCCTCTGGAGGCAGGCACCCTTTCATGCCCTCTTAAGAATTTAGGAGAAGGGGACTGGAACAGCAGGTAGAGCATTTACCTTACACGCAGCCAACGCACCCAAGTTCGATTCCCAGCACCCCATATGGTCCCCTGAGCACTGCCAAGAGTAGTTCCTGAGTGAAGAGCCAGGAGTAACTCCTGTGCATCGCCAGGTGTGACCCAAAAGGAAAAAAAAAGAATTTAGGAGAGGAAGGGATGGGGACGGCTGGGTCAGGTGCAGGAGGAAGCAGTTGAGCTCAAAGCCCATGGTGTGCTTCTTGCCTCATCCGGTTCCATTGGAGGTCTTGGGTTCCTCGGCAGTGAGATCACATCTGGATCACCAAAGCCACCCCTGTTCCCGGCAGGGGACAGACACCTGCAGGACCGCCTGCGGTGCAATGCCAGTCACTCTAAATCTGGATCTGTACATCATCGTGGGAAAAGCACTATCGCCCACCCGCCTCCTCCACCACCTTCAGCCGGGAGTCCAGCTCATGGCCCAGACACAGATATTGGGACCTGCTCACAGTCACTATGTGAGTGATGGGACCAGCTTGTGCCTTTGAGGCTGAGATGCCCCGCTGGAGTGGAAAGGATCAAGATCATCTGGGGGGGGGGGGGATGGTCTCTGCAGAGACCCCTAGGGGAATGGAGGGTAGGAGGGCCTGGAGAGGCACTTCCTGGCTGGCTGGAGGGCAGGCTCTGGACTCTGCCCATATTCTGTGTCCTGTGTCTATTCATCCCCCAGATCTGGATGGGATACTGAGCCCTGGCTCTGAGACAGAGACATGTCCTCTGCCGCCCAGCCATGGAACCAGAGGCTCAGATAGGACCCTGCCCACTTCTCTTCCCGCTCTGCCTGCTGAGCTGGAAAGCAGACCTTTGCCCCGTTTCACTGTCAGCCACGTGGGTGAACGTTCTGCACTCACAGTGTTTTTGTAAGCATATGAGGGTGCTTTTGACAGTGTTGGGGAGGGGGGGACTGAGCACACACACAGTTCCAAGACACAGAAGTCTCCAGGTGCCAACTTAATAACAGACACTGTGCTGGGGACTTTATGCACATCGTTTCCTGAAACTTGCACAGAATTCACAGGAGTTGTGATTTTATCACCTTTCTTAGAGGCGGACCCCCAGTTCAGTGGTGGGGGTGGGGGTGGGGTAAAGATCACTCACCCAGGGCTGGAGCAATAGCACAATGGGTAGAGCGCTTACCTTGCACGCGGCCAACCCGGGTTTGATCCCAGCATCCCATATGGTCCCCCGAGCACTGCCAGGAGTAACTCCTGAGTGCATGAGCCAGGAGTAACCTCTGTGCATCACTGGGTGTGCCCCAGAAAGCCACAAGAAAAAAAATCACTCACCCAAGGTTACCCCAGACGAACAGGCGGTACTGACATGGCCCCAGGTCAGCCTGTGCAGAATTTCAACATCATCTTGTAGAAGACAAGAACCTCTCTTACATCTGCACGGACTATAAATTTGGTTCTTATTTATTTTGGTTTGGGGGGCCAGACCTCACAGTGCTCAGGGTTTAGTCCTGGCTTTATGCTCAGGATCACTCAAGATGGGCTTGGGGCTCCGTATGTGGTTCTGGGGATCAAATCCAGGTTAGCTGTGTGCCAAGCAGAGTACCCTTACCCTCTGTACTAACCCTCCAGCCCCAAATTTGGTTCTTTTGGTTTTGCTTTTGGTTGTGGAATACCACACCTGGCAGTGCTTAGTACTTACTCCTGGCTCTGCACCCAGGGATCACTCCTGGCAGGCTCAGGGAACCATAGAAGGTTCTGGGACCCAACCTGGGTTGCCCGTGTGCAAGGCAGACACCCTACCCACTGCACTATTGCTCCAACAACCCCAAAATTTGTTTCTTGAAGAGCCACAAAGTAATGTCACAATCATTCAAATCCCTTGACTTCACTGGTCACTGTCTCCGTTCATATTGCTGACTGGCCTAAGAGGAAGGTTTTACTCTTCTCAATTAATGGGAGAATAAACACAGTCAGAGGACAGATAGACACCTTCCCGAGGTCACACAGCTGGTCAGTGGCTCTTTCTCCATCTACTATGAAGGCTCTCCCTGGCAGAGAGCAGAGAAGGAGAGAAGAGGCGGTGTCCCTGGGATAGACTCAAACTTACCTCTTTTTTTTCCTTTTCGGGTCACACCCAGCGATACACAGGGGTTACTCCTGGCTCTTCACTCAGGAATTACTCCTGGCAGTGCTCGGGGGGACCATATGGGATGCTGGGAATCAAACCCGGGTCAGCCTCGTGCAAGGCAAACGCCCTACCCACTGCGCAATTACTCCAGCCCCTCAAACTTATCTCGAGGTCTGTGGAGATTCCCAGGCCAGGTTAACAGAGGGGACAGCGGCCTGGTCCCTAGAGTGAGTCCAGAGCCCCTTTGCCCAGGTGCCACCGGGACCTATCTTCTCACTGTCCTCACTGTCCTCCCCAGGCCGTCCATGCCTGCAAGACTCGTGGCCCTGAATTCTTAGTCTTTTGCATTTTATAAGCAAGAAACACCACGGTTTACAGAGTGGATAGGCTGAGTGACGTGGTGGGGAATGGTGGGAAATCCCCCCTTTCCTGGCTCAGTTGCCATCTCTTCCAGCTCTGGGCCTCAGTTTCCTCATCTGTAAGTTGAGGCAGCTGAACCCCGAGGCCTCAAAGGCCCCACCAAGCACCCAAATCTCCCAGCAAAAGGCAAGCCTCCCTCTGCCACACACACACACACACACACACACACACACACACACACACACACGGCCCGTTGAACTCATACATTTGACAGATAAATGACACTGAACTGCCTGGGGGTGGGTGGCATGTGTTCAGCAAGGCTCGTAGGTCTGTCACTCTCAGG